CAGCACCATTATTTGGTGCATAAATATTGATAATTGTTATGTCTTGTTGGTGAATGGTTCCTTTTAACAGTATATAATGTCCTTCCTTATCCCTTTTGATTAACTTAGTCTTGAAGTCGATTTTATTCGATATGAGGATGGCCACTTCTATTCAATATAGTTCTCGAAACACTGGCCAGAGCAATTAGACGAAAGAAATTAAAGGCATAAAAATAGGAAAGGAAGAACTTAAATTATCACTATTTTCAGATGACATGATTCTATACCTAGAAGACCCAAAAGGGTCTACAAAAAAACTACTAGAACTAATAAATGAATTCAGCAAAGTGGCAGGATATAAAATCAACACGCATAAATCAAAGGCATTTCTGTATATCAGTGACAAAACTTCTGAAACGGAAATGAGGAAAAACGCTCCATTCACAATATCCTCAAAAAAAAAAAAAAAAATACTTGGGAATCAACCTAACAAAAGAGGTGAAGGACTTATACAATGAAAACTACAAAACCCTAAAAAGAGAAGTAGAAGAAGATCTTAGAAGATGGAAAAATATACCCTGTTCATGGATAGGCAGAACTAACATCATCAAAATGGCGATATTACCAAAAGTTCTCTATAGGTTTAATGCAATGCCAATCAAAATCCCAATGGCATTTCTTGTAGAAATAGATAAAGCAATCATGAAATTCATATGGAAAAATAAAAGACCAAGAATAGCAAAAGCAATTCTAAGCAGGAAGTGTGAATCAGGTGGTATAGCGATACCGGATTTAAAACTATATTATAGAGCAATAGTAACAAAAACAGCATGGTTCTGGTACCAAAACAGGTGGGTGGACCAATGGTACAGAATAGAGGACACAGAGAATAATCCACAAAGCTACAGCTATCTTATGTTTGATAAAGGAGCTAAAAGCATGCAATGGAGGAGGGATAGCATCTTCAACAAATGGTGTTGGGAAAACTGGAAATCCATATGCAACAAAATGAAACTGAATCCCCTCCTCTCGCCATGCACAAAAGTTAACTCAAAGTGGATCAAGGAGCTATATATCAAATCAGAGACTCTACGTCTGATAGAAGAAAAAGTTGGCTCCGATCTACATATTGTGGGGTCGGGCTCCAAATTCCTTCATAGGACACCCACAGCACAAAAGTTAATAACAAGAATCAACAAATGGGACCTACTTAAACTGAAAAGTTTTTTCTCAGCAAGAGAAACAATAAGAGAGGTAAATAGGGAGCCTACATCATGGGAACAAATTTTTACTCCTCACACTTCAGATAGAGCCCTAATATCCAGAGTATACAAAGAACTCAAAAAAATAGACAATAAGATAACAAATAACCCAATCAACAAATGGGCCAAGGACCTGAACAGACACTTCTCAGAGGAGGACATACAATCAATCAACAAGTACATGAAAAAATGCTCACCATCACTAGCAGTCAGAGAAATGCAAATCAAAACCACCCTAAGATACCATCTCACTCCAGTAAGATTGGCAGCCATTAGGAAGTCAAACAACAACAAGTGCTGGAGAGGATGTGGGGAAAAGGGTACTCTTGTACATTGCTGGTGGGACTGCAAACTGGTGCAGCCAATTTGGAAAGCAGTATGGAGATTCCTGGGAAAGCTGGGAATGGAACCACCATTTGACCCAGCTATTGCCCTTCTCGGACTATTCCCTGAAGACCTTAAAAGAGCGTACTACAGGGATACTGCTACATTGATGTTCATAGCAGCATAATTCACAATCGCTAGACTGTGGAACCAACCCAGATGCCCTTCAATAGATGAATGGATAAAAAAAATGTGGCATTTATACACAATGGAGTATTATACAGCACTAAAAATGACAAAATCATGGAATTTGCAGGGAAATGGATGGCACTAGAGCAGATTATGCTTAGTGAAGCTAGCCAATCCCTAAAAAACAAATACCAAATGTCTTCTTTGATATAATGAGAGCAACTAAGAACAGAGCAGGGAGGAAGAGCAGGAAGAACAGATTAACATTAAACAGATACATGAGGTGGGAGGGAAAGGGAGAGAAAAGGGAAATTGCATGGTAATGGAGGGAGATCCTCAGTGTTATACAAAATTACATATAAGAGGTTGTGAGGGGAATGGGAAAATAAATAAGGAGAGAAATGAATTACAGTAGATGGGGTAGAGAGAGAAGATGGGAGGGGAGGGGAGGGGAGATAGTAGAGGATAGGAAAGGTAGCAGAATACAACAGTTACTAATAGGGCATTATGTAAAAATGTAGATGTGTGACCGACGTGATTCTGCAATCTGTATTTGGGGTAAAATTGGGAGTTCAAAACCCACCTGAATCAAATGTATGAAGTATGATATGTCAAGAGCTTTGTAATGTTTTGAACAACCAATAAAAAAAAAAAGAAATATCTTAATTGAATCACCATATCATAATGACATATTTGGAATCCGGTGCAATCAAAGATCTAAAAGTGAAGTTCAAGGTATTCTCAAGTAAAAAAAAAATCCATTCAGCCTAATATGTTTGGTAGAAAAGTTAGGCAGGTTTATTGGCTATACAATATAGCAAGGATGAAAACTTCAGCTTAAAAATTCATAATTTGTCTACCCTGGCTTTTCTTCTATCTGATGAAATTTCAGGAACTTTCACTGAATGAAAGTCACAAATGCCTGAGAAGCCAGTGAAGTTACTGATTGGCTTGGAAATATTTATGTGTGTCTTAGGATAAGAAGACACATTTACAGGGCAGCTATTATGAAGACAAACAACAAGTGTTGGTGAGGATGTGGGGAAATAGATACACTGATATACTGCTGGTGGGACTGCAAATTGGTACAGCCAATATGGAAAGCAGTATGGAGATTTCTTGGAAAATTGGGAATGGAATCACCATTTGACCCAGCTATCCCTCTCCTCAGTCTGTATCCAAAGGACTTAAAAACAGCATACTAAAGGGACACAGCCACATCAATGTGGGGTAGGGAGAGGGAGCATGGAGATATAGATGAACTCTAGGTAGGGCAGCAGGGTTGGAGGGGAAGAGAGGGGGCATGGGGTTAGAAATGATGGTGGAATGTGATGGACATTATTATTCAAAGTACATGTATGAAGACACAGATTGGTGTGAATATACTTTGTGTACAACCAGAGATATGAAAAATTGTGCTCTATATGTGTAATAAGAATTGTAATGCATTCCACTGTCACATATAAATAAAAAAAATTTTTAAAAAAGAAGACACATTTATAATGATGTTGCTGTACTGTCACCAGTATCATTTCTGCCAAATTTGTGGTCTTTCTATGAATGCATGAAGAAGGGATTTCTGAGTATCCACAATAACATATGACAGCATAGGAGGTGGGAAAATTTCATAGTGAGTGTTCATCTCAGTGATATCAAACATAGATGAAATATATCAAATCATATAAGAACTTCAGAAAAGAGCAGTGCCACATAGAAAATGAATGTGAACATATTCTCTGAGAGCTATACTTTAAAACAACAGTCTTTATCATGGGCAAGACTTCAAAATAGACTTAATGATTATGAAAATCTTCTAGATCCTATGGACTACATATGTCCAGTTGCCCATAATCTATCTTTGTAATGTGTATTTTCATGTTGAATTTTTTTTCTTTTTTTTCATTCCACTATTTTAAGTTAACATCATTATTATATTTTTAGTATTCACTGTCCTTTGTATTTCATCTTCATATGATTTATAGTATTGGACGTCAAAATTTTGTGAAGATTTTTAGATAACTAATTCATTTTACACAGTTATTTTTTTAGAAGTTTGGCTTTGCAAAAGTGCATTAAAACATTATTGACTTTGTATATAAGCATTGCAAGTTTGTAAAAACCTTGAAACTTCCTAAATAAATGAATTGATGTCCTTTTTTATACATGTGTATTTGTGAAAAATGTTTCTTGAGATTGTAGCTTTTGGGTGACTATATATGTGTTTGTGTGACCCATCCTGGTTTTTGATTGATTTCATCAAAGATTGAGATTGTTCATGATGGTACTTCATATGATTACAGTTATAAAACTGTGTGCACATAACTACTAACTATAGTGGTATATATTTATATCTTTTGCTTTTTGAAAATATGATCTTAGTTGTTGATGGACCTTTATTTTATTTATTTGTTCATATGTGGTGCTGAGAATCAAACGCAGTGCCTCACACATGCCATGCAAGTGCTCTGCCACTGAGCCACAACCCCAGCCTACCTTTTGTTTTTAACCTATTATGAATAAGTTTGTCTGTTTACATCAGTTATACCTGTACAACTGTACTTAGTATACCTGAATGTTTATGCTAATAAAAATGTTTGTTATTGTTGCCTATATTATTGTGTAAAGTGGCCTTTGATGTGTTCTGTCATGATATTGTTTCTTAAATCATTTAAAAAAGTAATAAATATCTTTTTAAAGAGTTAAAACATTTTTAGAATTATATTTTTGGGATTTTGGTCCTTCAGGATCTTATACCTTAGGAATTTTGATCATTCTGGATTTCAGCACTTGAGTTTTTTTTTTTTTTTTTTGGGATTATGACCCAAACCTCATATTTCAGTGCAGTCTTCCTCCACCAAATAGGGCGTTACCAAATGATGCATGGTAACTCCCTATTTCCATGCATGTTCTTGCCTTAAGCTTGCCTCTCCCTATCTTTAAGCCTCTGCTTTCTACCCCTACCCTTGCCCCCAGCACTTGGTACTCTCTGCCATCTTGTATATGTTTTATTTAGTCATCCATATTCTGTCTTCATTCATATGACTGTCACATATGAGGGCAGACACTTGTTTGTTTTCATCAGTACTTTAACCCTAGGGATTAAAATAGTCCCTGGCATCTAATATTTAAGAAAAATTGTTAAAAAATGAATGAATGAATGAATGAATGAATGAATGAAAACCTATGTGTACCACTAATCAGAGCATTTATGTTTACAGAATTAATAATTTTACATTTTTATTTCAGGAGCAGAAAACAATTCTTCCTTCAAGGCATGCAGTTCCTGAAGTAATAGAAGACTTTCTCTGCAATTTTCTGATCAAAATGGGAATGACCAGAACTCTTGATTGCTTTCAATCTGAATGGTAAACAATTTTGTGGGTAAATAGTTCTCTAGAAATGGTAATAGCATTTACTGTGTGCATGTTCAACTGCCTTAAAAGACTGTGAAGTGATGCAATTTACACAGATAGAAACCTTTCCTATCTTCACCTTTGAAACTACAACACACACTCATATAAACATGTAGGTGCACAGATACACAATCCTGTATAGTTGCCAAGAAATTTTATTAAACATCTTTCTAAAATATTCAAATTTATATATCTTTAAAAATATTAAGAAAATTGAATATCTCCTGGAGTTATATAACAAAAATATTTTTATGAAATATTTTCCTACTGTTTTTGTGTAATTACTAATGGTGTTGTCTCCTACACTAACATTCTGTTAACAGTACTACATTGCTTGCTTTATGAATTGTTAAACAACTGCCTTTCCCATCTTATGTACCTGATTCTTTTTGAATGTATAGTCTTTCCTTTAGAAGTAAGGGGCATTGTATTTTCAAATATTATCTAAAAATAAGATTTTTCTGTTATAATTGAAAATTTAAGTAACTTACTGATTATGAAAATCAGCAGGCATGCGGTTTTATTCCTTTGCTAATAACAATAAGGTCACCAGGCATATTTTTGAATTCCTGGCATTCTTTAAAATAATAATATTAAATGACTGGATTTGAAATATTTTTGATTTTTAATAATCATTGTATGTTGTAGAAAGAGAGAAATAAAATATGCATATATAAGATATATACAGATTAATCTATACTGTTTTGGATTAAATCCTGATTTTTAAATGTTGAGGTAATTTGCAATTTTTACTAATCTGGTTGTGATATAATTCTAATTTTATGTTTTTTTCACATCTCATATACTGAGAACATGCATATAAGAATAATTGGTTTCATTGTTTAATCATACTGAATGTGAATAAATTTAATGAGAACCAATTTTTATTAATACAGTCTAAGAAAAAAATTGAGTTTGGTGGTAGAAAAATAATACTGCTTATTTTAAAACTGCAAGTTGTGTGAATGATTTAAAAACGTTCTGAAGAAATAATTATAGATATATTAGAAAATACATTTTTATAAATGTATGTCAGTGATTAATTTGCAAGTGATTAATTAAATGAGAAATTAATATGATTCAATTACTTTTTTGTCTTCTAAGAATGTGTGTTAGGAAGCATGGTACTTAACTTGTTAGGCCAGTGTGAAGTGTGAAATGATTCCCTTAGAGAAATATCCATCCAAATAGACTTTTAGTAATTAGATAATTGTTATCATCCTTTAAAACTGATCACTCTGAATTGATGAGATGACATTTTAGGAAACTATGTGATTATTGGGATGCAGTGTGATGTTGCATTTAGAAGGTAACAATTATGTAATATTATAGTTTAGTAATATTATAGTTAAGATAATTTTAACCTTATCTCTAGCTGCTAGTTTAAATCCCTAGCTGCTATATCTGCAATGTATTGGATAATTATTTCACATGAAACATTTTCATTTTGATCAGAAACCTTTTCCTGTACTATGGGATATTTATGTATTATTTTCATCATTTTTCTTACTGTAAAAACCACTAGTATATATCTTTGCTTTGAATTCACTTGATCTTGCAAAAGGAAACCAAACAATGTTTTCCTGTTGTTAATTTGTGAAAAGCAAAAGAAAACAAAAAACTGGGCAGTAAACTTTGACTTATGTCTTTCAATTCTCAAGTAGTAAATCCTTTAAGTACTGAGTCAGAAAACTAAGCCCCTTTGGCCAAATCTGGCCTGCCCTCCTGATTTCGTAAATAAAATTTTATTGGAATATAGCCATGATCTAACTTTTAGGTATTTGTCTGTGACTGTTTTCATGCAACAAAAGAAAAGGTAACTAGTCACAACAGGGACTATATAGCCTGCAAAGCAGTTTTTGCGATTTCTAAAATATTAAATTTCTGGCCCTTTTCAAAAAGAGTTTTCAATCCCTGCCTTTTATAATATATATGTGAATGTATTAGGAATTTGCTCTATGAATCACCAAAACATTTTCACTCTGGGGTTAGTCAATGCTATTTTTATGTCTATTTTAGGAATACTCTATGGAGAATGGTAATTTACCTTGGAGGAGGGCAAAATCAAAGAGCGGCATATGTCAGCCACCTCCCTTCCTAACTGGACTATTCTCCTGGCTGTTAATGTGTTCAGTATTCATTCACTCTTAATGTACATTCTTGGCTCTTCTTTGCCTTTCCCTTTTATTAGCACACTTTCTCTGACTCTTTCTCTCTTTCCAGCCAATGCTTTGAAAACAGTTTTTAATTTAGTCTTTCTTTATTTTTTGATTAATATTTTCATCCTTGGTTCTTTCTAATTTGGCCTCTTTTCCTACCATTTCAGTGAAGGTAGGGTGTTAGTAAAAATTCTATCAAAGGTAATAGGATGATTATTTATAACATTTAATTACTAATTTAATTTACTTATTATAGAAGAGACTGTAAATTAAGAATACTTTTTTTTTAGTTTATAAAGATATATGTTGCAGCTTTCAGCCAATAAAAATTGGCATAATATATAATTATCCAATTGTGGGAAGTATAGTTACAATTTTCTAGGGATAGTGAGGTAACAAAGGCAGAGCCTAGAATTAAAACTTATGTTGAAAAAGCCCTTACATTCCCAGTATTATAGGAAGTATATGTGGTGTTTTGTATAGATTACTGACTCAGTAAATACTACACAACTACTTGTTCCTTCATCATTTAAATCTATCAATGTTTCTTCAGTTGATGAGTTGGCTTTTGGTTATGTGTCACTTAAGAACTAAACACAGGAATGTTCTGACTCTTCTGTCATGTTAACTTGTAATTGTATTGTAATATGCTAAATTTGAGCCCTGTAAATATATTTTCATATATTTATGTACTATGATATCAAGAAGGTAGCCTTGTAGGTGAATATTAAGTTTAAAATCTAGAGTAAAAATACTAGAGCATTCATTAAATGTGAAGGGTTTAAAATACTAAAAGATAAAGCCTTAGGATTATCACTTAAAAATTTACTTTGTGTCATTTTATTGATATAATGTGTTCTTATGCATTATTTCACATTTCTCCCAACAGTTATATGTAGCAGATAGCTACTAACATATCATCAATTTTATGGATGAGGAAATGGTAAACTCATTCGTCACTAGGACATCTGCCTTAGTAAATGTCAGCAAGTGGCAGAGTCAACTCAAGCTAGATGCATCTTAGAGACTATTCTTCTAACCACAATGCTAGATTGTAGAATTGTACAAGGGAGTCTTGAAAAAAATGAGAAAGATGCTTTCCAGCTTAACAAGAGACAAAAAATTTAAGAGATGTCTTGATTTTAGAGTTCAGATTTGTGCCTATTTTCCATGTTGGCCTGAAGAATCATAGTACTTGCATTGAACTTTTCAAATGTACTATATATGTTTCCTGTGAAGGGCCATCTCTCATGGAGTTGGCAATTCCAATATACTTAGTTTTAGCAGTAATTAAGAGATTTTTGCCTTTGTTGGTAAAATACTTTCCTAACTCTGAAAACAAGAAGAAAAAATTCTCATTTGATGCTTCTGTTTAAATGACCTTTTCCCTATTTTTTATAACCTATGTTGTATCATAGGTTATATATCCCGTCTAGTCTGACACTGTTTATATTTTTGCTGGTATTTTATCATGCTGTCTGTCTTTTGTGGTGGTGATCTAAAACTCTTTGTTATGTACACAAATATTACAAAAACTCTCTAATTTCTCATGAAAATGCATACCTATTCTCCATTTACATATAATTTCAAGTAGTTTATAGACTTATGGTAAATACAAAGCAGATTAATGTAATTTTATTGGCAGTTTTGTTGGGAATAAATTTTGTTTTCTAATAGTTATATAACAATATTTTTCTAAATGAACATTTTTTTCAGTCTTATTCTAATGATGAGAGAATAAGGAAGAAATAAAAGGGCCAGGGTATTTCTTTTTTTATTTTTATTTTTCTAATTAGTTATACATGACAGCAGAATGCATTTCAAGTCATTGTACACAAATGGAGCAGCACCTTTCATTTCTCTGGTTGTACACGATATAGAGTAATACCACTCCTGCATGTCCATCTCATTCCATCATCTTTCCTATCCCCATGCGTCATTCCCTCCCCTTACTCCCCTCTGCTCAATCCAAAGTTCCTCTGTTCTTCCCATGTACCCCCCGTGCCCCGCTGACCCTCCATAATGGATCAGCATCCACATTTCAGAGAAAACTTTTGGCCTTTGTTTTTTTGGGATTGCCTTATTTTGCTTAGCATGATATTCTCCAGCTCCATCCATTTTCTTGCAAATGCCATAATTTTATTCTCTTTTAATGTTGAGTAATATTCCATTGTGTATATATATACCACAGTTTCTTTATCAATTCATCTACTGAAGGGTGTCTAGGTTGGTTCCACAGTTTAGCTATTGTGAATTGAGCTGCTATAAACATCGATGTGGCTGCATATGTAGTATGCCAAGGTTATTTCTTAAAAATAAAACTGCAGACGGTCATCATTATACAAAATACATGTATGAAGATGTGAATTAGGTGTCAACATACTTTATATACAAACAGATATGATAAATAGTGGTATAAAGGTGTATTAAGAATTGTATGCCAAAAACATAAGAGAGCTCATATATAATGGCATAATTTGGCGTGAACATACTTTATATACAGAGTTACAAAAAATTGTGCTATGAATGGATAAATATGAATGTAATGCACTGCACTATTGTCATGTATGTAAGAAATAAAAAAATTGAATTGTAAAAAATAAAATAAAATAAAACTGTACATACATGCAAAACCAAAACAAAGCTAAAAATCTTAGGAGAATGTAGGATTTTTTTAGAATTGTATTTCTGGAGTTTGAGATTAAATTTTCCAACTACTTATAGTGACTTTGAAGTCTCAATTCTTCTTCTTTCATGCATGGAAGAAATTTTGTATGATGAATGACTTCTGAATGCCCTATGATAAATGTCATATGTTTGATTTTTGCTTCTCTTACCACATTTATTTTATTTACATGATATTTAATTTAGAGGACAACTGTTAAATAGCTTTTTGTCCTCACAGATATAATTTCATTAGTGAATTTTTTATTTCTGCACTACATAAAAGCAAGATGCTAAAAACCAATTTTATGGTTAGAAAAACTTTGTGGTCTAGTACTTCAGTCAACCTCTATGTCTTCTCTTTTGAGATAAGTATAAATCACATTTCAAAAACAGATAAAATATTGAATTTATGATTAAATGGTTACCTATTTTTTTAATAAATTGTGGTAAATAATACCATATATTGATATAACTATTTTAACCTTCAGTGTATTGTATAGGAGTCTTTTTGCAGGTATTTTATTATCAGATGGGATAAATATAAAATAGAGAACTACTTATTAAAATTTAATGTGAATTTATGGTTTGTAATATGAAAATACTAATTTAAAATATTTTTGTTACTTAGCTTACCTATAATAACCTTTGTAAGTATTGCTTTGTTAATACTTTTATTATGTAAATGTTTTTCTATGTTTGTTTTTTTATTATGCTTTATTGATTGTTGCATATAGTGATTATAATTCTTTAGAATCTATCAATAATTCTCTGATGTTTCTTTTTAGTGTATTGAGGAAAAAGGAGAAAGAGTAGCACCTCCCCCTTTAACCACCTGCTGCTGTGTCTTCAGGCCTTCTTTCTTCTTACCTATCATAGATGATGAAGGTTGTTGTCTGTGTCCTGTACTGTTCTTATTAACTGTATTCTAGCTCCTCTCATCTACTCAAGGACATTATCCCTCCTGTATTTGTCTCTCTCTTTCTTATTATTTTTGTGCCTCTGTTATGGGTCATTCCCATAAGCTTGTTGATGTGTAATAATATCTCATACATTCTAAAAAAAAAGAAAAATGAAGCACCTGAACTTAATTACAGTTAAGTTCATCTTAATTTCCTAGTCTATACTTCAATGGCTTGTTTCCTTGAAAAAATTTGTTGCCACTTTCTTATTTCCCAACCCCTTTTATCCCAATGCTTAGCTGAGTAAACGTTTTTTTCAGTGACTTTCACATTGCCAATTCCAGGTATTTGATTCTCAGTACTCTTTCAAACTCCTAACAGCATTGTCACCAGTGCTTGTTTCTTCCTTATTCAAACATTTCTCCACCTGACCCTTGCCCGCAGCTTTCTCATAGTCTTGTATTACTTCACTGACCTCTCTTTCTTTTGAATTCTTGTGGTAGTTTTCAACTTTGAAATGATGGAGTGTTTTATGGGTCAGTCCTGGGACTTTATCATTTTTCTTGTTACATTCACTGTCTATCTAGTCTTTTCTAGTCTCATGAGTTTAAGTAGCATTTATATACTGATGGTTCTCATATTTAAATTGCCTATTTTGACATTTTCCCTGAACTCTTGACATGTATATCTAACTTTTATCTTCACTTGATTGCTAGACATGTTACCTTTACCACAAATGGAAACAGTTCCTTGATTCCTCCAATCACCCATCCTTACTGTGTTTGTCCCCACTTAGTAAATGGCTGTGTGTTGCATAGACCGAAACCTTGAAGTCATCCTTGACTTCTCTCCTTTTCTAATATCTGACAACATGCATCAGAGAATCCTGCTAGCTCTACCTGGACAGCACTTCTTATAATCTCAGCTGCTATCCACTTTGTTCACTCACTGTTCTGTCTCTCCTGGACTATTGCTGCAGCCTACTAATTAGTCTCTGATTCAATGCATTCTCTTCTCCAGTCTGTTTCATCCAACTTACTCATCTATCTATAAAATAAATCTGATCAGTGTTACTTGTTTCAAATCCTTCCCATAGCTTCAATCTGATTCAGAGTAAAATCTCTTTCCTTATTATATACCATGATGGTATTAGTACCTAGCAATTCATTAATACTTTATTTTAACAATATATTATGAATGTTAACATTTTAATTTATAAATGTAATATGGCAACTGATTACCATAAAATTCACTGAGACTTAATTTTTCTAATTGCATGTGAGTTAAGGTAATTTAGTGGAGAGAAATGACAAAATCGTTTGTTTGATTTTTTTCTAGGTATGAGTTAATACAGAAGGGGATAACTGAACTTAGAACTGTTGGGAGTGTTCCAGATGTCTACACTCAGATTATGCTTTTAGATAATGAGAACAAAAATTTGAAGAAAGACTTAAAGCACATCAAACAGGCAGCTGAGTATGTTATTTTTAAATGACTATTTTTTTTTCCTTTTCATTTTGGACTAAATAAAAATGAGTTGAATAGAGTTGATGTGTAATACATGAGAACTTTTATTCTGGAGAGCTGAATTATATTTAAATTGTAGTTATAAAAAATGTGAAAAGCTTTACTAGCAAATTAATTAAACCAGATGACCAGAATTCTCACAATTGAAATTCACTGACAGAGTAGAATGCAGACTGTTGTGTAGGAGATGTTTCAATTTGCTATAAGTCACTTCCCTTTGTACTTGACAATCTTTTTTATAGCTTGTAAAATTTTCTTCCATGAAGATAAGCTAATTTCTGAAATAATAATGAAATTATAAAAAACAGAGTGGAAGAAAGGGGCTAGTTTGTTCTTAGTAGAAGAACTTAGATATTTGAAAAATCCCCCAAAGGAATAATGTAAGCCATGGACTTGGGGATGGTAGATTATCAGATGTAACAAATATACCATTTTGTTGGGTGATGTTGAAAATGGGGTAGGCTATGCATGTGTAGGGATAGGAGGCATATGAGACATCTTAGGATCTTCTGATTAATTTTTATGTGAACCTAAAACTGCTTCAGAAATATTATATTGACATGAGTGAAATTGATTCAATTGTATTTATATGTATAAATATGCTCTAATGAAACTCACCATTTTGTATTATCAAGATTGTTGCATGAAGAAAAATGAGAGAGAGAAAAATGAACTATCTATAATCTTACTCACCTGGCCAACTATTGTTTCCATTTTATTTATTTATTTTTTTTGGGTACTGGATATTGAACTCAGGGCACTCGACCACTGAGCCACATCCCCAGCCCTATTTTGTATTTTCTTTTGGGGGAGGTTCTCACTGAGTTGCTTAGCCACCTTGCTTTTGCTGAGGCTGGCTTTGAACTCTTCATCTACTGCGTAAACCTCCCAAGACATGGCCACTGTTTGCATTTTCTTAAACAGCTCTTTGAACTTTTCTCAGTGAATGTACATATATATGTAAATACATTTATGTATGTATGAATATATGTATGTGTGTGTGGGTAACTTTTAGATAAAGTTGTAATAATGCCTTATATTTTGTAACTTTTCATTCAATAAAAATGATAAACATATTTTTATGAACACAGATTTTATTCTAAAAACTTATAAAAAATTTCTGAAAGGAAATCTTTTTTTTTTTTGGTAATTTCCTGACATAAATTTATGTACAGAGGAGAAACTTATCAGAAGCCAAATTTTTCCACATTTTTTTCCTCCTAAAGTTAATGGAAGACAAGCAGTTCTGGGGAACAATAATAAATAGTACTATTCTGGCAAAGAAATATGTGAATATGTTGACAGGGGAGAATTTACTCATGTGAGCCAATGTTATATGAAAAAAAATCATTGCTTACATATGGAAGAAAGCTCATTATTCATTCATTCATTTTGATTAAACATTTAAGATGAGGCTTTCTCTGTTCAAGAATCACATTTACGCTAAAACTACCTTAACATGACATATTATAATTATATATTTTTAAGATATATGAAAAATATTTAATGAGAAGAAACATGACTGAATTGCAAAATAAAGTAAGCATTTAAAGTAAGTTTCTACTTTTAAAAAGTATCAGTACATGAAAAATAATTTCTATGATTATGTATTCAATTATTAGGAATGTGTAGAAATGTTTTTGCCAGGTTTGTTTTTGCCCAGTATATATATTTCATATTATCTGTGGATGTGCTCTGTAGAATTTTATATTTTATATAGTTTTGTATGAATGATTCACCACAATATGTTTCTAGAATTATCATTCCCTCTATTTTTGGTTTCATATCTCAGAAATGGTCTACTCTTTGCTTGGACATTACAGTGATTTTGAATAGGTACCTTGTGAGTATACTAGAAATTTTACAGAACATTTTCAACAGTGATGCCTGGCATACTATTTTAATTCCTCATTTCCTTTGAATTATGGCTTGAGTTTGCTAGTTTTCTTTTGGAGAGATACAGACTCTTTATGTAGTGCGTTTTACCACTGTAGTATTAAATAATCATTGATTGCTGGATGTTTATTGAATACTGCATTTGAAAATAACAATCAAAATTATGTAAACTATCACTCATGCAAATTATTACTTTAATGTTAAAAGAAGCCATAATTAGAACAGTTGCCATTCAATTGACATTTTGCTTGTTTGCTAAAATATAAAATTATAATTTTTATTTCAGTGGTTCATGTTTATTCCTTAATTTTATCTCATTCAGTATATTTAAAATCTTAACAAATTAGAAAATGAAAATATGTATTTGCTTCAATCTACCTGACATGGTAGATTTGAAGGAAAGCGGCTTGACTCTTAAAGATGTTTAATTGTTACTTTGTTGAGTGAATATTAAGGATGATAAAGTACATCTCAATACTTTTAGTGAAGTAACCTGATACATTCTCAGAAAATGTAGAATGAAATTTTGTAAAAAGTTTCCCAAACTATGTCTTACCATGCTACAAGCTTGCTACAAATTGTAATGTTTCAACACCCAGGATTTTCAATTTGACATATGAGCATATTTTTCCAATAACAGTTAGTGATAAATATGATTCTCTTGATGGAATCTGATCAATGTTTGCCATTTTAGGATTAGGCTGTTTCTTAAGATAATTTTATAAGTACAATATTTTAGAAATATTTAATATTTAAAATGCAAAAAGAGTTAGTTTACAGATATGTCATATATTATCCTAGTTTGTACTGGTAGCATTTAATGAACTATTGAGAAAACTGAATAGAAATTCATAGCTATAAATTTAGTATGCATCTGAGAGAGAGTAACCATAGAAAGAGTAATGAACATAACTATCTAACTTCTAATATTCTGCCACTTATTAACTCAGTTTTCTTATTGTTAAACTGGGAGTAATTATGGATAACATTATTAAGTCCTAGAGAATGATGTGATAATTAAATGAGACAATCTATGTTAAAGAGCTGTGTGAAATTGCAAAGTGCTTTGAAATGTCACTTATTACTATCAATATCTCTAAAGGTTGTCATCCTAGGTTTTAAAAAAATTGTCACATCATTAATATTTTTGAAGTTCAGCAATAATGGAGTATGGAAGAAAAAATAAAAGAGGAAATATTTCATGCTAAAATATCATTTGAATTTCTGTAATTGATTTGAGGGATTGTCCATGGTATAAGTATTCTCAATTCCCGAGCAATAGTGTTTCCCCTTATACTTGCTACAAATAAAAATTTTTACCTAAAATACTAAATTTGGGAAATAATTGTTGAGAAATGTTTTTTACAGTTTATTTAAGGAGAAAATTATTACTAGAAAAGATTTATTATTATAGCAAAGGCAAAAGGATATTACATTTTGGATACTGGTAAGTGATATGTGATACTCTTTCTTGCAAAAGGAGAGTATAACTTCAGTTTCTAATGAAACATGGACTAATTGTTTTCTTAAATGCAGAAATCTAGGAGTAAAGTGATCAGCCTCACATTTGCAGAGAATTAGTGATTGGATGAAAACTAGAAAATATAATTAGAATTCTAATATCTTTCACAATTAAGGCAATACTTCATAAACTTTATTTGAAAATTGACATACTAAAATTTCAGATTAGTCTGAGGTCCATAAGTAACTACTTTGAATTTTAATTAGAAACCTGTTTGCTTGATCTTGTTGCCGAATTTCATTTACATTTTATGTCTTTTTCTTATAAGATAGACAATGTGCATAAACTGAGTTTGATAACTTCTGAAAGAGCCCGTGTACTTGTTCTTTAACTTCCTGTAGTATGGCTTTCATATCACCTTTTCTCACATGGCTTTCTTGAACACTGAAGTACTCTTTGCTGATGAATATAGAAGTCTCTTTTCCTTTTCTGTGTTCTATTTTTTATCCCTATCTTCTCTCATCTTCTGTGGCAGCATGCTGTTCTGCCCCTCTTTCTACCTTTCAATAGGCTCCTTTTACTTTTCTTGCCTCCACAATGTTTATACTCTGTTAGTCCAATAAGATAACCACTGACCAAACACATGTAGATATCAACAAACTTAACAATTATCAATGGTAATTGCTAGGAAGAAAAGTAACATAGGCAAAAGAGACAGAGGTCAGTGGGGGTGCTTTTCCATGTAGGGTGGTGGAGGAAGTCCTCTTAGATATCTGAAGAGACTATGGAAGGCCATGTGTAAATTGGGGAGATGGAGTTCTGGTCATGGTAAATAAAGGGACGTGTAAAGAATATGTAGTTTGGGGTTGGGGTTGGGGCTCAGCGGTAGAGCACATGCCTAGCATGCGAGGCTCTGGTTTGATCCTCAACACCACATAAAGATAAATAAGTAAAATAAAGGTATTGTGTCCAACTACAATTAAAAAATAAATATTTTTTTTAAAAAGAATATGTGGTGGGGACAACTTACTTTGCTAGAAGAGAGTTAGCATGGAGGCCATATTGGTTTCACCAAGTGGGTTAGTAATAGGCCCCTTTGATAGAACTTTGCTTTTTTTTCTTTCTTTGAGTGGAATATGAAGCTAAGGAACGATTTTGAGTGGAATCATAATGTGAGCAGGCTTCTGCATGGAAAATAGACTAGGTAGAAGGACATTATGGAAACAGTGAGAACAGTATATTTGGCATAACCTTATGGATTGATTTAACTGGTTAACTGCATAGTAATAATTAAATCAGGCAAGCTTCATATGGGACAATTAGGTTCTTTCAAGGACAACACTTGCTGACATTAATCTCTGCATTATTGCCCCCATGTAAACTTTGGTTCAGAACAGATGACTGATCAGGTATTGTGTCTAGAATAACACAACTACTTGATGTTTTGCCATTTATTAAAGAGAAGAATTTAATTATTATTCAGTTTCCTCATGTGTAAGTGGGTAGTATTTTCTACCTTTTGTGTAGTACAGTGTCTGTCACATAATGAGTACTCAATAACAGTTAAATCAGCATTCTGTGTTAGGGCACT